TCTGCCTGTAGGTGTTTCTGTCTGACTTTTGGTATAGTAGTTATTTTATTGGGCTGGTCAGAGCTAAAATAGAGAATAAAAAACTACGCTACACCTCTGTTAGGTTCCAGGGAAACTGTGCTGCCTCCCAGCAGTAAGAGTACCTCTTGTTCAGCTCATTTGCTCATCTGCTTCATACTTCATAAAACTAGTACATTTCTATTTTTAATTATTTACTGCAGTAGCAAATTATGAACATATGAGCTGTTACATTGTGACTTGTGCGGCTGATGATGGTTTTTGCAGCTGAGCACCAGTTGGCAGATACAGTTTTCTACAATGCTGAGCTCTTAAGTGAGGATTTGTTGATGTGACAGGACATGTGTTAGGAGATGTCATCATCTGTTAAAAGTTTATGAGGTACATTCTTACTCTCTGTGAACAGTGTGTATTCTTTGTTCCATTGCATTCCAGTTATTCTTGCTGATTTAAGGCTGATTAAGCTGGAGTTTTGCCTACCTCCGAGCATTTATGTTTCATTCATTTCTCCCAGGTCAATCCAGAGGGCAAGGATGCCCAAATAAATGCTGTAACTCAAGGTGCAACTGTTTAAAAAAGAATGAAAGTCCCTTGTGACCTTAGAAGGGAGAGAATGTGATTTCCAAGTGCAAAAATCAAAACAAATCCACACTTGATCACATTTTGACATTTTTTGATAGCATTGCCAGTGACAGAATGTTGTCGGGAGGCTACTTTAACCTTGTACACTTCTCTGGTAAGGGCTCAGAAGCTTTTTCTTGCTCATTCTCTGCTTGTCTGGTCATTAAACAGAAAAACTTTTTTACCATTAGCACCTATGATGAAATTTCCAAATTCACTCATAAATGTACTTTTATCCGCCTGTATTAATAGTGTATCTCTCATGACCTCCGGTTGTCCTCTCCATTCACTCCCTCATTGTCTGAGACCTCTGAGTCAGTTTTCCTACTGCTTTCTACAGAGCATGGAACAGAAACTCCCCATGGAGTATGTGAGTTTTCCTTCATCGGCCACTAGAAATGGTTATTAAGAAGAGATGTATTGTCTTCCTCCATTGCCACCCACAGGAAGCTTTCCTGGGAACAAGTGTCCCCTCTGAGAGAGTGAGAGCTGAACTTCAAGCTAAAAATAGTGGTGCTTAACTTAAGCATTTCCACTTTTTCATGAGGTTGATTTTGTTGTCAGTCTGTTCAGGACAGCCACCCATTGAAAATCTATTCTTAAAATATTATTCATATATTCTGCTTGTTTTCTTGCTTATTTTTAAGGCTTCATGCATACAAATTCCTGTCACAATGAATCTACTTAACATTCTATCTATTTGTTTTCTGAGATTTTATAAAAAAGATTTTGCCGTGTTTGTATTATTTTTCCATTTAATTAAATTATTTTGAATGTCTTGTGCTGAAACCTGACCTTCCAAGACAATATAAAATAGGTTTTTTTCCACTAATGGGCACTGAGCTTTTGGGGCTTTATCCAGTCACTTTCGTCTTGGTCAAAACATTTAAATATTGGTCCTCCCAGGATATTTTTACCTAGTATCCCAGGAGGCATTCCAGTGGATGGACCGGTCTGGTACAGAAGTCCACAGACAGACAGTCTGGCTCCAGTTTAGTGCCTTCATACTAACATAACTAAAGTCATTTGTATTTTGGTATACAGAAGTGCTGTAGCTGGTCTTGATTCTTTTGCACGCTAATGATATCTGGCTAAAATCATGCCTCTGAGGGCCAAAGAGTTGTGCTTCTTTATTCTGCAAATTATCTGGGGAAAACTTCCAGATTTTTTTTTGTATTACTGTTTCCTCTTTGTGTATGCTTGTGCAGAGTAGCACAAAATACCTTTTGGCAGAAGTTCAGTCTGCCTTTTATTCGGTTTCTCAATTTGCTGTGCCCAAATCTGTATCAGCTGCACATGTTTCTTGCTTTCTTTTCAACACTCAGTTCTTTGTGCCACTTGAGTCAGTCTGCAACTTCTGCTTCAAGTTGAAAGACAGTAAAACGATGATTGGGATGTTCCTCCGTGTTGTGCAAACATTATAAAACCACAAGACCCTGACAAATTTGCTCTCTCTGTCTATTTTTGTATGTGAAGTAATGAACTTAGCATGGCAAGAGCTGGAACGTGATGTTTAATCCTTATTAAACAGTTGCAGTGCAAGTTTCAGCCAATTTATTAAAGGAAGAATTGTTCATATCTTGAGAGTTCAGTTCCAGTGACTGTTCTTAGCAGAAGTTGTTACGGGGAGATCCCAGACTGATTTCATGCTAAGCTGAAATGAATTATCTTTGCTTAATTTTGTTTTACATGTAGTACCTAGCAATATCCTACACATGCCTTTGTCAAAACAGGAACATAGGAAATCTCATTTTAACAGTAATAAAGTCAGGCATAGTTGGTTACAAAAATACTACTAATAAGAAAATCATAAAAGCCTTGTCACGTTTACATCTTTCAAGTATACTAGGCAGGGCAGGAAATTGTGATACATAGGTGGTAGTTTTCATAAAAATAGATTGGATTATAATGGAATATGTTATAGCAAATTTCTGCATTTAAGTCTGCTTCTACACAGGAAGGGGAAGAAAGAGGCTGAGAATCAAAAGTCTGAGATTCCAGTCTTGGAAGCACTCCAGTGAATAACTTAACTCACATAAATAATAATGAGTTACCACCTGTGCATAAAGTTATGCACATGCTTTAGTATTTGTAGGATTGAGGTAAAGCAGCATATTGCAGATACTCTTTATTATATTGTATCTAGGAAGAAAAATTTGTAATTTACTGTGCACAGAAAAAAAAACGCAAGAGAAAGGAGAGAGAAACACGTTTGTATGTGATGACATTTTGATAAAAGCATTATGGCTTGATGAGGAATCTTATGAGTCCAGAGTATTTCGATGATTTGTGTTCGAAGTATCTTACATGAGTTTTTGCAAATCTGTTAACGTGTGTTCCTTAATCATCCCCTTGGAAAACTGACCTTTGCACTTGCTGCTGCCTTCAGCCACGTGACGTTCAGATCCAGTGAACATGCCTGCAGAAGACGTAGGGGATAAAGTCATGTTACTAAGCACTGCATTTGGTTTCTACTTCTGAAAGGTAGTCTAGACCAGTTCAAGGGTCAACATAAAAATATTTCCTTTCACTGCCAGAGAATTGGATCTTACTTTGGATCATTACAATTTCTTGTACACTATTCCTTCCTTCAAGTCTGACTTTTTCATGAGCAAGGGTCAAAATATGTCTATGTTTCAGATTTTACTATTAGTTTTTAAGTGCTTGAGGGCAGAAGCCATCTTTTATTCTGTCGTTGCAAAGCCCTTGCATAGCAGATGTCTGATCCTGATTGGGAAGCCTTTGATGCTAATACTAACAAATGATCATTTGAAGTTTTGTGTGATTTTGTTGCCAGATGCTGGTAAACTTTTAGACTTTTAATCTCAAGGTATTTAAGAAAGGATTTCTGAAAACTCGCTAGCGTCAATCAGAGTTTAAATCGTGAAATACAGATTTTTTTTTCTTATTTTAATGAGAAAAGGATCACATCTATTTTAAAATAAGTCCATTGCAGTAGATTAAGTGTAGAAAAGTTTACTGAACCCTACAAGCTCAAACAGATGATTAAGGCAGTGATAAAACTAGTTACCAAGTGTCAGCTAAGCATCAGGAACTGTCTGTGTGCATTCTCATTGTAAAGCAAATGTACAGTAATGCAAATTGGCTTAACCTCTTTCCTAGCAAGCCTAGTGAGGTGTAATTAATTATCTCGTGTTTACTGTACACTGAATGCTCTCAGACCAGCTGCTATTGCAGAGTGGCAGATTTGCAGTATCTTGCTGAGGTAGAGTGATTTGATAGTGTGGAAGCTGACGTACGAGCAGATGCAACATTTTGAATGGATGTCATCCAGGGACAGGAATCCTGTATTTCATCAGAGAACAAACTTACATATGCTTTCCCATTCCTGGGGATCACCTGAAGAATTGTGCTACAGATCGTAGGCACACTGAAGAACACTTAGAACACTTACAGGAACATTGTTGAATGAATACAAGCAATAAATCATAAAAGAGAGCCTGGAAATTCATCAGTGAGTGCCTGCATGGAAAAAGGGTAAATATTGAGATCAAGGATCAATAAATAATGAGATGGAGAAGGACCAAGTGCAAGGTTTGAGTATACATACTGGAGCAGCAGAAATTGTGGGAGATGAGTAATATAGGCCTAAGTATAGGCAAGGCAGTGATGATTTATCCGAAGTGAAACTCAGTTTGGGGAAGTGGGCTTAGGTTCAGACTACCTTTTGTGTCTCTGTACAGCGGAGACATCAGAAATCAAAGAGGCCTCTTAAATCACAGTGCAGGATAATTGCTTACAAAGTAATCATTTGGTAGAGATGATTACCTTTCCTAGTCCAGTTTAGCATGACCTTGCTGAGGACTTCTGTGTGCCCAAAAGTTGGGAGGAAAAGCCAAGAGATCAGAAGAATTGTGCAGTGCACTGGGTGTCACGTGGAATAATTTCATTCCTACCTCAGCTGCTGACTCAGTGCATTGGGTCAGAAGAATTAGTTGCTGCTCCATCACTCAGCTTTTTTCTGCCCACAAATTGACAGGCAAGATACATATTTTTATAAAAGACTCAGGGATTAAAAATGTTGTGTATTCTTATTACAATAAATATTGGGTTTCTTACATACATCTTTTGTGATAAGTTCCTTCTTTATGCAGGTTTACATATGACCACCAGGTTTTCCCTGTCCCTATAGCCAGGTCGCAACTGCCTTGACTTTCAAAAAACTCAGTGTTTCAGCATCCCCAGCTCCCCAAATGTTCTCACACAGGTTCAGCAGTCTCTTCTTTCTGTGTTATGTTAAAATAGCTTAATATTTAACACTTTGTATTTAGCAGTTTTAAAGTTATTCTGGTATAACTTAAAGGTATTTAAGTAGTTAACCTTGCTTTCTGTTTTTTAAGGATCCACCAATGGCAGTGACCCTTGGACTGCGAATGGAAGAAATGATTTTTAATCTTGCTGACACACATTTATTTTTTAATGATTTAGAGGTAAGAATCAAAGGAACATAAACACCATTACACCTGGGTTTTTAACATAGTGGTTTTGTTGTGCTTTAGCGTTTGTTGTGTGTGACATTTTCTGCCTAGCTGGACTTTAGGTTTCTCATACTTTAATCAGAGAGAAGTTAGCCAGGTGGCAGTGACTTTACATGGCACCAGAACCCTTCCACGAAACTGAGAGGGAATCTGCAAACTACCCTTTCCTCCCTTAGTCCTATGGCCATCTTTTCAGTTTCCATGGATTTGGAGCTGTCTGCAGTCATTTACAGGAGGGGGACATAAGTGCCTCCCATTCTTTCTGTGAAGTTCTCTACATTCGCTTTCAGTGGGTGCCATCATCTGACCACAAGAGTCTGTGTTCTTCTCTTCACATACCTGAGTAGCCTTTTGACCACAGGACCCCCTTTCTTACTCAAAGGCAGAATATTCTTCATTTACCTCAAAGACTGCAGCATCAAAGAGCTGGAATTACGATAGATGTACTCATCAGTGATGTCTCTTCCTGAGATAATCAGGCGACCACAAGGCTTGTCACGATGTACCCTGAGTGTGCAAGAGAGAGACCTCGTCCTAGGGACTGATGGCTGTGGACCACTCACCTGTCAGATGCACACAGATGGATCGCCACAGAGGCAGTGGTCTGGGAAGCAGGCCTGTCAGCTGGGCTTCATAGACTTCATTTCACTCCGGGAGCCCAGATCTGTTAACGTGGAAAGTGACAGTCTGACAACCATATGTGTCAAGAGACGGGGTGAAAAACAATTCTCAAATTAAATGATGGGCTTTTCAGACCTTCCCCTGGTCTAAATCAGTTGTTTTCTTACTCAGAGTTGATCCCATAGTTCCCTCCATGGACAGGAATTTTGCCACTAATGGCAGTTGGGAGACTGAGGTTTTTTTTTAAAATGCCAGAGAAAGGTCTCTGGTGAGTGAACAGAAAAAATGAGGATAAATGAGATTTTTCCATTCACTCGGACATTGATTTTTCTAGCGTGCACTTCTTTTGTTCCTTCATCGACTGCAGGCAATAAGCAGAAAGTACCAGGCTGTGGTTGTCTTTGTCATCCCTTGCAGACCTTATTTATTCTTAGCTCTTTTTAAATCAAGAAACTGGGATCTACTTCACCCTGTACCTCAGCTGCACTTTCTTCTTCCAGCAGCAGAAACGTTTAGAGTAAAACCCTGGCCATACCTTTGCCAGTGAATGTTCTATTGCAGACCTAGTGAGTCATGGCTTGACAATGCAAGTGCATTCAGTGAATGTTCTCCTTCTGGTGCTCTGCACCAGGGATAGATTCCAAACCAATTTTTCAAAGCATTGCTTACATTTCCTCTTAGCAGACCTTTGCCCCTGTGTGTTCAGATTTCATGTGGCACCCAATGAACTTTAAGCTGTTCAGTAGCATATGCCCAGAGTTCCTCAATCTTGTGCTGAGTTCGAGTGGAAGAGTTTAGCAAAATGGAGCCTTGTCCTCTTTCCATACCTCTGTTTTCTTGCTCATGGCCGTTGAAGCTTCATTCTTTTCTCTCGTTATTTATTTTCTTTGTAGATCTCAGATTCAGCTGTCATAAGTGGATCATCATATTTTGTATATTCTTCATAGGGTGGTTTTAATATCCTGTTCAAAAATTCATACTCTGGTTCATTCCAGAGCTTGAACAGTATCCAAACAGTTTTCAGTTTTAGATAAATCAAAAAACACTACTTGCGGACTCTCTTGGAGAATCTCATAACTCAATGAATTTGATTTGATTAAAACCAATTTCTATATGCAATTAAGTATTTTCTAGCCCAGAATTCATCTTTGTTTCAAAACCAACTCTCTTATTAGATTACCAAAATTCCAAACGTCTTGTTCTGAAATGAGCTCTATGCACATATTCTGGCATATGCAAGAAGTCCAACAATTTTCTGTCTTCTTAGCAATAAGATAGAATTGCATGGCATCCTGTGCCAAAGTACATAGAGGCATCCTTTAATATGTAGGTGAATAAATCTGTCTGTTTATTTAAATATGTTTGCAGAGCACATGACCGTTACTGAATATTGCGGTGCATCTGCGTTATGAATGTGTAATGAATTCTGAAAATTCCCCAATTCGGACTTGGGGTCTCTCTCTCTCATTTCTCCCCCTCTCTCCATCTCTCTTTCTCTGTCTTTCTCTCTCCATCCTCTTCCAAGAGAGGGGAGGTGGGTGCTGAGCTGTTAATGGTTGAGACCATCAAGACACAAGACCTTAGGGCTTTTATTGGAGGAAGTGAGATAGGCCTTTATTCACTACACAGATTACTTACCCTTTCAACGTCTCACTTTTTTAATGCTGAGCCATCAGGTCCCATACCTTCTGTCTTACTTTCATCTTCATCCCACAATAAACTTCGTGGCTCCGGACATGACAGCTGAATAATACACTAATGAACATTCATAATGTACTAATGAACCTATACTCCTGGAATATTGACTCCAGTCACTATGTCCTCTAAGCTCTCTTTTTTCTGTCTTTCTTGGTTGCAACCACCACATACTAGGGTCTTGTAATAATAACCAAGTTACTGAAAGTTATCACATACAAAAATAAAGTTTTCCTTCCTCTATGCAAATCTCTCTCACTACAGTGACTGCTGATGCAGAAATTCCGATCTGCTGAGACATTCCCCGCTGACCCAGTAACCCATGTTCTAATCAGCCAAGCTGCACTTTTATTTTAGCCTAGGCTGTTCTCCAGCTATTTTATTCGCAGTGTATAAATTTTAGTTAGCTTGAGAAGTATCGCTTGGGAGGGCGGTTGGTGTTTTGCCATGAAAATAGGAGTCTGGTGCTCTAGAAAGTTCATGTGCCTAAACAATGCTTAGAGATGGGACTCAGTTCTATAATGACATCCAGACTAATGCATTCTGTTCTCAACCAGGTAAGGAATAAAATTAAGTTTTTCTCCCTATCTCAGTGTTAATTTTAAAACAGCTTTTAGAAGTGTTGGTAGGGCGTACTATGCACGCAGAAAATGCAATTCCTACAAACTGCAAGCAGGAATTTGGACTTGAATCTTGCAACTCCATTATCCCCCTCAAATCTCAGGATGATAAAGAAAAAAGTATTTATTTCAAAGAAACTTAATTACATTTCCATTTTTATGGTGATCTTACTGTATTTTAAATAACATTTTGTCATCATTTTTTCGCATTAGAAATTAAAATGAGAAATAAAAAATAGGATTTAGGTAAGTCAGCATTTGGGAGGCAGGTCAAACTAGTTTTAGGAGAGACTGAAGATATACATAAAAAGGGGTGTGCTGAGTAGCCTGAGAAAGCATAGTGCCGAATATCCTCTCAGTAATAACTTTTTTGTACTCATTGTGGTGAGTCAGTGTTTTTACTGGATAATGAAATTACTGTCCATTCCAGGAGGATAATTTTGTGGATGATTTGTTGATTCTGTACTCTCAAATTTTTAGGCTCTAAAAATTGCTCCAAAGAATTGACTGCACTCAGATATAATTTAAACTAGTATTGCTTCAAGCAAAAGCCAGTTATTGTACCTAGATTCCTTTCCTGTACTCTCAGTAACAGGAAATATATTTTATCTTTCTTAGTTCTGACCTTGCACTGACAGTGCTGTGACTTGAGCGTAGTCAGTACTGTAGCTGATGTGAAAAGTATTTTACCTTAACATTTAAAGTGGCAGAGAGCTTGCTTGCTTTTCTTCCTCTCCACAACTGTTTGGTATCTTTTACAAGCAAACTCAGATGTAGTGTTGTGCCAACTGTTGTGCCTTTTTTGGGAAAAGAAGATCTGCTCAAACTATCTGCTTTTTCTTTTTTCCCCGGAAAGTTTTTTCACACCATCTAAGTGAATTTGTGAAATGTGAACATTTTAGTTGAAGTAGATAAGCAAATGGGAAAACAAAGTAAAAAAAAGCAAGGAGTGGTGGGCACATGAGTTTGTTGTTGGTCAGCAAATGTGAATTGCCAGTATGGTGAGGAGGTGAGCTGTAGATCCAAGAGGAGAACAGGAAGAGGGGAAAGGAAGAGGCTGGAGAGTGCTGTTGGATTTGATCCTCTTATGGGACTGGAAACTTAACAACCTTCTTCCCCTTCAGGGACAAGGGACACGTAATCAGAAAACTGCGTGTTCCCCTCATCTCCTGTTCCTGGAGTCAATGAACAAACTGTGAGGGACAAAAATGTACGTAGACAGCTGAGCCTTTGCCACCCACTCATATTTAACTTAATAATGAAATTATCAGCAGAACAGTTACCTGGAGTTTTCAAGGCTAGAACAATGTAGCTGAAAGGCTTAACAAAACCTAAACAGCAGCAGAGACTCCTTCTTATCCATTGAGGCTTCCGTGTGCCCTCCACTTACTTCGTACACCTTTGAATCCACAGGAGTGATTTTTAAACTTTTTAAATTATCGTACGCTTTGACCAGTTCCAGGGAAATCTGTGAAGGTGATTAGGGAGCCAGATATTGCTCAGATACTGCAAAATAGAGTTAGAATTTGTCCCAGTGGGGCATTTTGACTGATTTTTGAGTTCCTGTCCTACACTGGGTGGAGTATAGTTGCATTTTTTTTCTGGAGTGTAAATAATAAATCAGAATAAATAAATTAATCTTTTATTTCAGCTGCCACTTCCCCTTTTCTTCCACATTTCATCTGCTATTTACATCCAAAAGCAGCTTCTTTAAAATATTCTACAGCTCAAGATAATCTCCTCAGACAGAACCAAAAATTTTATTTCTCCAGTGTGGAGAAGAATGCTTCGTTTCTTTTCCTTGAACGCAGCTCTTTCATGCCTGTCTTAATGGATTAAACTAGATGAGCAGAGTTTGGCCACTCATTCTTTCAGTCTTGACGCAAAATTTTCAATTACGATTGCTTGTATGATGCAATGAAACTATGTATCTGAAAATGAAATTATAGGTATGTATTTTATACAAAAAATGCTTATTTTTTAACAACTTACTTTGTGTGGGCTAACGTCTGTTAAGTTTGCATTTAGTGCAAAGTAAACGAAACAGAAAGAAGAAATGGTAATTCCTCAAATTCACACTCTAGGAACTTGTGGCAAACACATTTGGAAATCACTCGCCTGTTCAGATTTATCCTTTATCTGGACAACTTAGCACTGGTATGAGGTTGAAATTGGAAATTTAGAGCTGCGTACTCCTGCATGTCACAGAGAGTCTGAATCAAGTGCTGCTGTCAGCAACTTTGTTTGAAGTAGATGATGTAGATGACTCCTTATTTGAGGCACAGAACTGAGTGTTTTGAAAGCTCAGTCTCGTTTTGTCTTAGTGATGAAATTAAATTATCTGAAAACATTGGCTGAGGAGTCTTTTTTTAAATATGTCCTTGAACTTTTTAATAAATAATACTAGAATTACGTTAACAACAGCTATTTTAAATATTAAAAAATTACTTACATACAGGAAAGTAAAATCTCTGGACACTGAATTTCAGGTGTGTCTTTGAGTTAAGATGTTAATTCTAGCAACTACAGAAAACACTAATACGATGCCTGTTCATATTTACCGTTGCATGGTGGCTTGAGTTATTTATTTATTTGTGCTTCCCCCACATTTTCCTATCTTTCTGCCATAACCACTGTGCAGAAAAGGATATTTAATAGCTTTCCAATTATAAAACCAGCTTGGAGAGGATTTCAGTTTTCCAGTGTACCTCCCCTGGTGTTGCTTCCATCTCTTCCAAAACCAGGAAATTCTCCAGGACTGCTTGATTATCTGTGATTTTCCAGCCAGAGGCATTTGGATACATCAAGACAAGAATCTGATAAGCATCCAACTCCTAGAGACTTAACAGAAATTACATGCCTGTCGAGGTTCATCATCATTAGCTTTTAGGAAGTGGGGAAATAAGGTTTAGGTGATTTTGGAATAATGGTATGCTAGAGAGACTATAAATGAGACTTGTAATTGTGGTTTTTTCAATTAAAATAATTTTTAACCTAAGATCACACTAAAATTACATATCGCTTTTCTAAAGACCTGTTTTAACTAATAATTCAGTGTCAGTGTAGGAGTTGAAGGTTGCGCTATTTTAAATTGGTGGAAATAGGGAGCTGTCCGTGTACGTACGCTGCCATCTCCTGGCGCACTTAGTGGGCTGCACTCATTTCTTCAACATCTGAACATCCTCTCTTGTAAGAAAATTTATCACTCGATTTTTTTTTCCAACAGGAGTGTGATCAAGTTCATATAGATGATGTTTCTTCTGATGATAATGGACAAGACCTAAGGTAAGATAGAGTATTTGTTTCTTTTTTTGTTTTTCTTCAAAGATTAAATAAATTGAGCATTTACAGGAATACATTGTATTTATTTTTACTGTATTTTGGGTGTTTGCAGTACCTACAGTTTTGCAACTGATGGCTTCCATGCAGCTGCAAGTAGTGCAAACCTTTGTCTGCCAACAGGTGTAAGAGGAGGGGTGGACTGGATGAGGAAGCTGGCTTTCCGTTACAGAAGAGTAAAAGAGTTGTATAATACTTACAAGAACAACATAGGAGGTGAGTTTAATTGTCAAAACCAATTTAGAATGCTGATCAGGTTAAACTACATGGCGATGAGCTCCCACCGGGGGATTGTGCCTCGGAAGCCACGGAGTGAATGGGAGGTGATGTGACTGGACCTTGGGCTATTGAAAGCTACTGACTGTAATGGCAGAGCCAACATTGTGCTATTGTGCAGGAGAACCAGAGATGGGGAAACAGATCAGGCTTCCACAGAGCCCATTTTTCTCCTTCAGACCCAGCTTGGCTATACCTACTTTACTGGTTGGGTGAGCCACTTATTCTACCTCAAATACGCCGTTATCCTAGGAAAGAGGTTGTATAGTTTCCACAGCACAAACTGGTTGCGGCTGGCCTGTTCTGTCCTGCATTCCATGATCTAGTTGGGAACAACACACTGTCTGCTAAATTCTCTGCTGGGCACCCGCTAGTCTATTTTCACCAGCGGATGCAAGAAAACCTTAGCGCTGCCTCTGTCGCTTACGCAGTTAATTGTGTCAGCAAGAAATCTGAGTCTCATTGGGGCTGAGAGCTTTCCTGTTACTGTTGTCATTCATGGACTCACTCATGTCAATGCCAGCAGGCTTGTAGGAAATTGAGCAGTAGAACCTTAAGAATCTGTTCTGGAGAGTCCTGTGTGACTTGCAGAGGCAGACAGCCCTCTTCTGAGGAGGGGAATATGTCAGTTGACTCCCTCAAGAAGAGTCTTCAAGAACAGGGAATACTTACAAGCCTTCAGGCGTTGCTACAGCCGCAATTGAGGCCAAGATGAGGCCAGCCCAACCAGGAAGGAGTCCAAGTGAACACTCTCCCATTCTATACCATGGACTTTTTCAACTCATCTGACATTTATTTCAAAGGAACTTGAAATTCAAAGTAAAGCTCATCTTCAGCAAAAACAGTTTGATGTTCAATTCCTACAGTCTCTCAAAAACGGGAAACAGTACTACTGATATAGAGAGTGAAATAGTTGTTACCTTAATCATTTTCTAAACCTGAAATATATATTTTCTCTTAGAAGTTCAGAGCCTTTACTTGCCACAGGATGAAGCAATAAGAATGATTGTAATGAATGAGTTGAATGGAAAGGGTGATAGTAAATTATTGGCTTTCACTTGCCCTCCCTTGCCCTCTATTGGTGTTCTGAATGGTGTTTTTGTATATTAAGAATATTTGAAACAGTATTATCCCAACGTTTACTGGGTTTTCTTATATCTTCTAATGCATCTAAGATTCTAAAGGTGTAATATTTGTAAAACCTTTAACATTAGTAAGAACTTAAGCCCAAGAGCATAGCATAGGGAAACACAGTAAGAGGAACAATCATTGCAAAGGCAGAGAGCAAATATGTGGTGCATTGTATTGAAGTTTTTATTCTTTCCCACAAATCCTGCTTCTGAAATATACTCCATCCTTAGTGGTCATCCATCCTCTACTTCTTAGCTTTTTAAATAATCTTTTCATCGCATATGTATCTATTTATTTCAAAATAGCTGTTAAAAGGCAACAGAAGGCTAGATCAAACTAGGTATTTTTAGGGTGCTTCATTTCAGATTTTTGAAGACAGTCATCATCACTTCTTGAGAACATGAAATGTGAAAGAGAAGAAAGATACTAAAGGTCATGAAGCCTGCTTCCCTGTTCTTCCAGGACCAAATCTAAATTTAAAATAGCTTGGTTCCAAAGAACTCATGTCATTGAATAAGCTGGGTATTTTTAAAAATCTGACCATTCATAACCAAAATTAGATTTTTAAGGTGCTTTTAAGGACTGAGATATGAGAACATGAGATGTACAGCCATTTCAGGGCTGTAAATGCTATAAAAGGAGCTACCATTGCCAACTACAACAGGACACGAAGAGCAAGCCATCAGCAAACGAATGTATCTTCGTGTGCAACCTGAGGTTCACCTGTATACAGTCATGAGCAGGGAAATTTAAACATATGCAGATATTGCAAAGGCAAGTTTATTCTAAAGTCTCTTCTTTTGCGAGTGTCTCTGCCTATGATCCTGGTGGCATGGATCTCCTTGTCACTGCCTCTGACAGAATAAGATGTATGTGAGGACTTGGTTTAAAAAAAATATGTATTTCTGAAAGGTATACTTTGAAACGTAGCAAAGTAGTCTGAACAGATGAAAAAAATAAGGCAACTAATTATTAGTATCTGCGATACTCTCTGACATTGCTTGATATAGTGGAGTGCAAATAAAAAAAGAAAGCAATTTACTGAGCCTTGAAGACAATAGATTTTCTCTTTGATGTTGTTTCAAGTTCTAGTGGAATTTAAAATAGAAACAATGACCATAAAATCTATACATTCCAGCTAATGCAAAATTTAATTTGCTTTTTTTTCTTTTTTTTTTTTTGCTTTTTCACATAAAAGGACTCCTGGGTCCCGCTAAAAGAGATGCATGGTTGCAATTAAGAGCAGAGATTGAAGCTCTAACAGATTCCTGGCTAACAAATGCACTTAAATCATTATCAATTATCAGCACAAGGTATGTATTTGAGTCTAGAACAATAATGTTACTAGTTTTCAACTTGTAATGGCTATTTTTTGACATTTTAAGTTACAATAAATTAGTGCCTTCAAAAAACAGAACAAGTTTAATGCGACTTTTAAATAGGACATAGGAAAAATTCCATCGAAAGTGATTTCATTTTCAGTGATTCCAGTATTTAACTAAAGATTGTATGTAGTGTCTTCTAAACTGTGATAAACATCCCTGTGTACATTGAAAGGGTATTGTAGAATTCTGAGCCAGGCTTTAATTTGTTATCTTCTGAGCAGCATCCTCTGAATTCCACATGTCTCTGTTCTGTCCTTCAATGTTTGTGCCTATTCATAGTGCTACCTAAATACTGTATAGATCTCAGAACACAAAAGCGTTTTCCTTTTGTCCTTCCAGACAAATTGGTATGCTTAAGCATATATCTAAGTTTTCAGATAAAAAAATTTCAGCAAAAATCAGTTTTAACTGAGTTCTAGGTTCTCAGTAACGAAACATCAAATGTATTGTTCCTTTGAAATAATAAAACTGTGTACCTATATGGTACTGAAAGGAAATTGAAATACGTGAAGGCAGAAGTAGTAGCCTAAGGTTTTCTTGGAATGTGTGGAAGAACCAGGAGGAAAAATCACAGCTATGTGCTCTCAGCTCCATGTTCACACCATGGTCACGCGCGTGTTCCAGCCTGTCAGTGCCGAAAGTAGCCTGGCTCTGAGTTTTCTGTTGTGTAACTGCTAGCACGACTTCTCCATTCAAGTTTTCATCCTCACCACTCGATGATAGCTCATTAACAGGATTATTTTTACCTCTCCCTCTTCTCAGAAATATTCTTACTCTTGAAGCATTAAGAAAGTGATGTCATTGTGCAGAAATGGGTATTGGCTGTTTATTTCCTCTCAAGACAGGAGTAACAAATTATGCCTTTGCATTCTTCTAACTCTTTTATTTCGCTGGTAGCTACTGCCAATTAATTGCCAGCATGAAAATGATGTTTTCAAAGCATTCGCATACCTATTTTCAGAGATAGTTGGTGATCTTCAATGTCGGTATTTTAGTGGACCCATCTTCAAGGACCTGTTTTTTATAAACCAGTGTGGAATATTTCCTACAAATCAGGCCTGCATATTTTTTTTAATTATTTTGCTATAAGTGTTATGTACATTTTTTCTGGAAATGCTGATGCTGAGCAGCACTGCTGCGTGAGTGAAAGTAATTGTTGAGGAATCCTGACTATGCTCTCCACAGCTGGTTCACCTCTGTCAGCATTTGGGTAATGGTTTTAAACTGTTTAAACTTAAACTATTTCTCTTATTTTAGGAGTAACTGTGTAAATGTGTTGGTAACAACAACCCAGCTTATCCCAGCACTTGCAAAAGTTCTACTATACAGCTTAGGAGGAGCTTTTCCTATTGAAAATATTTACAGTGCAACCAAAATAGGTAAGAAAATTATTCTTTCATCCATTCTGACTACGCTGCATTACCAATATTTTTTTTTGCCAGTAATGGATGGATTCCAAGCCACTTCCCTGACACTTACAGTGTAAGTTATAAGATTTAGGCATTGCATATGTTCAGATGTGTTTATGTCAATAAATTCCAAATTCACTTTATTTTCAATGATGCCTGAAGCAATAAATGTCCCTGTACTGATTAAAAACCTCAGAAACTCCTAAGTATGGTGCAGAAAACAAAAAATACGCAGAAAAGAATGAATAAAAGTGGTTTGTGAATTCAAATCTAAGCAGAACTTCTGTTAAAGTAATGTCTGCTCTGACATTCAGCTCTATGTAAGCGAGGCCACTGCTTCACAGGCTTTTTCTGGAAGCATAGTACGTCAGTGATGGTAATGACAACTGTTAAGAACAGAAGCTCTGACGGTGGATGCCACAAGGGCCCTTCCCTATTCTGTTGATAACTCAGTTATTACAGTAACTGAGTGATTAGTCAGTTACTACAGTTTGGAAATCTGTGGTTTTTCGAAATTGCATCCAAAATTTTCCCGTAAACCAAGAAAAGTTATCATTCCTGTGAAACGTGGAACAGCCTACAGTGACTGATAATTTTGGCAGATTTCATGATTTACCAATTATTAATTCAGGAATGCTTAATTTCTATACCTATGATGCTTTATATAACATGGAGTGTGACACTTCATTGACAAAAGCATTATAACGCGTTTCCTAAATCATTTTCACAAGTGAAAAAACAATGCATATTCTAAGTGTCAGCAAAAACTATTACCTCAGTCATCCTTTAATCAGCTGTAGCTGTCCTCTAGACAGAAATGCCTCAAATGCTTTAAAAACTTAAGTCAAGGCGCGAAGTGTCCCAAATACCACATGGTGCTGAGCAGCCTCTGGAATGGGTGTCATCTGTCATACAGCCTGTACATGCTGGATTCAGGCACTGAGATTGCACTTGGACCAAAGGAAGGAGCATTAAGAAATAGTGCCGATGGCACAGAAGGGAGCGGTGAAGTGAAGCGCAATCTCTGGAGGCTCTGTCGAAGTAATTCTGCACCAGGAATTCCTTCTGGGAACAGTGTGGCTGCTCTTACACCCCTGTCGGGTACAAGATCTCCCTCCGTTTTTCATCTCAGTCATCTCTGCACTGTGCTGAGCATGGGACCGTAATTGCAACTGTTGCTTGCACACACTGAAATCTGGTCCTTGCTCAACAGTTAGTGCACAAGGTGCTTTTTCTAATCATGAGTTCTTTTTACGTGGGGCAACTGAAAAAAAAAGCAAGAGGAGAGCAGTAAGAACCGGAGATCTAGAAATCATGAGCTTGTGAGAAGAGCCTGAAAAAAATAGAATGGGGACAGACATAATAGCAAACAAGGTAAAAGCTATTGCAGAGAGCAAAGAAATAATCTTTCTCTATGTTGATGGGGGGTATGACAATAGGTGATGATTTCTTGGCAATAGGGCATATGTAGGTTGCATGTCAAAGAGAAACTTCCTAATGGAAAGGGTTAATTAAATATGGAGATCACCTGTGGAAACAGTGAAATCATCGTATTAGGACAGTGTTAGGAGCGACAGCACAAGCATTTGTTGCTAAAACTGAACCCTGAGTACAGTAAGATCAATAGATGACTTCACTTAGTCCATTTCAATCCTGTGTATTGTTGCTACTGGCTTAGCCTGCTTGCTTCCTGCTTTTCTCCAAAAGAGCCAAATGCTTCATGGAAGTTCTCCCAGGAAGCTTGTGTCTAATTCTAGTGCCCTGAACATTTTTTGCATTGCTATGTCATTCATTGTTGCAGATACATCAGAATTAAAATTACTGCTTTTCTTTAAAAAAAAAAAATGAATTATTATTACAATAATAGGGAAACATTTAAATTAAATTATTAATTCACTGACCTTTTCATTCTTGCAGTACCGCTAGTTCCTTTCTCTTAGTGGCTTTCCTGTAGCTCTTAAGAAAGAGATTTAGTTTTATCTGGAGCAGATTAATGTCACTAAGAGAATTAGTTGCTTCTCACCAGTTTTAGCTCTAAATGCCAAGGCTGGGAACTTTAAAAAAGTAGTAGTAACAATGTCTTACCACTGCAATTATCCTTTGTAGGGCTTCATCATAATTGACTTGATAGCTTGAATAAGTAGTGCATTGTTTTTCAGGCAAAGAAAGCTGTTTTGAGCGTATAGTGTCCAGATTTGGCACTAACATAACTTATGTTGTGATTGGAGATGGCCGAGATGAGGAACATGCAGCTAATCAGGTAACTTCACTCTGAACTCTTATCTCATTTATCTTCCAGGAAAAGAAAGTTGCTTTGAACGAATAATGCAAAGGTTTGGCAGAAAAGTAGTATATGTTGTAATTGGGGATGGTGTAGAAGAAGAACAGGCAGCAAAAAAGGTAACCTGTCTCCTGAAATGTTGGTGTGATACATAGCTACTAATGCAAGCCTTTCTGTTTGCATTTCTGTCAGTGTTGCACAATGACAGAATGATAAATAATTTCAGTCCACAGATGCAAGGAAACAAGAGCATGATGAGATCAAAATTTAGAGTAAAATGAACCATTTGGATTCTAGCATTTGTTTCATATCAGTTTGGAAATTAAAAAAAATGCAAAATTACTTAAAAATAAGTGAAAAAATGATTACAGCAAAAATGTCTGACTAGGTCCAAGCAAATTAAAGATAAGCAGAAGAGACGGAAAGGGCTATGACATGAAGATTGGGTGGTGATTTTCTTTAAATGGTGAAATCGGGGAGGTTTCAAGAGAAGTGTTGCAGAGAATGTGCAAAAACATCTAAAGGACTGTGCAAGTTTTTTGCTAACATAAATGAAGATCTGTAGTTTACTGGAGCAAATATGATGAACATATAGTTTGTTTCAAGAAAGACATATCTGTAAAAGGAAAAGGAGTACAACATAGAGGTTGTGCACCAAATCTGTGTTTCTGAAAAAGAACTGTTGCTTTAGAAATATTTAATTTTCTCACAATAATAATTCAAGTCTAAATTTCATCAGATAAGTTTTCAATGTTCAGAAATGGATCAAATTACTAATTTGCACCATACCTCCCAGTATAACTTTGGAAATGTGCAGAAACTGAAAATTTTTTGCCTCATGATGTCTGCCCAGGAGAGATGATGTAAATATCGTTGTACTAGGAGTAGCAAAATCAAGTGCCCTTTTAGTGTTGTAGCTGGAATGGAAACAAAATGAAAATAATCAAAATGCTTATTCCAAATGGTTCCTTGATATAGGTACAGTGCTGGTGATGGGTCTTTTATAGTTTGTGCTAAACAAAGGTGTTTGGATTGTGTACTTTCCAGTTTGGCATGCTTTTTTCTTAACGTTGGCTAAATTGCATGGATAGATACAGAATTCAGAGGGATGGATGAATATAGCACATTGCAAATAGATCTGAACACAACATGGAAGTATGGATTTTTTTCTATTCTGATGAATTGCTAAAGGAGAGTAGTAGATATATCTGCATCTCTCACAGGCATTGATGCTTTCTGCAACACAAATTATCTATTTTTAAACCAGAAATGTGTTATTTTCTTCTCCAAATAGATTTCTTTTTTTCCCCCTAGATGGAGAAAAATGTAATTCAGCTCTGTTTCAAAGCGTTGTGTGTTAAGCCTTTTTAAATGAAAGTCTTATAGCCCTTTAAATGATCACTCGATGTTTTCCAAAGTCTAGTCAGTGGCACAGAAAGGGATTTCCTATTAATTCTGCTTTAGATGGGTTTGCATTCTAACAATAAGTCAGTAGCCCTTATTAAATAACGGGCTCTTTCCAAAGAAATTATTAAGAAAGGCTATCTAATTATTTTAACTTCACTTGAACTATTAAGCTCAGATCTATTTTGGTCTGATTTTTGTCAGTAATTTACTAGCAAAAATCAATCCAGAAACACAGCGGTGTAAAATACGTGGTGGTAATCTGACTAGCCTCGTGTGTCATGTACCTCCCTGTGTCACAGTGTTCATCTTTCCTGACCTTCTCCCCCCTCTAACTAACACAGCACAACATGCCTTTCTGGAGGATATCCAGTCATTCGGACCTCTTGGCTCTCCATCAAGCACTGGAACTAGAGTATTTGTAACTGTGTTCTAAAGTTGGCGATCCTTTTTTTTTTATATATCTATTTCAAGTACACTGAATTTTTATGTGTGATTCAATGCCTCTGGCTTTACACATATGAATTGTCTTAAGAAGGAAAGAAATATTTGGAATTAAAAATTCCAAATTGAAGAATTCAGATTGCTGAATGGAGTTAAAACGTTAGTGCTACGTAAGGAAGCTCTATGGTCTTATATATGCAACGTTTTTAAATGAATTAAAACTGTGGAGGTTGCTGGTACACACCAAGTGAGCCCTGACAGGAGTGAACAAAGGACTCGAACTGGCAAAGCACCAACACGCGTTTTCCAGCCGACAAGGTGGTGTTCAACAACATTCCTCAAAATGGGATATATTCTCAGCACTGAGGTTTGAACCAGACTTTAGCCTACCTAACCCACAAAATCTGAATTGGAATGCACTCAGACTGTATAATGACAATCCTGTCTAGACCTGTAATTTGTGTAAATTATTGATGAAAATAATTTACTGTGACTTTATTAGCAGCTGATTTTGGAAGTGGATGCAATTTTTCTTTCTTTTGGGAGGGGCAGGGGAGGGAGAGGGTTATATAATATTGTCTCTTTTATAAGTTTGGCAAACAGAATGTGCATAATGATGTGTTGTGCCTTAAAGAGAAGACTGTGTTCGTGTGTTATAATGTAATTTTGGTTAAAAACTATGTAGATAAACAAAAAAAAAAAAAACCCTTTGTGATAATTTTTGACATGACCAAATTTGAAATTCAAAGAAATCACAGAGCAGGGCTGCACCAAAGCATTCAAGTATTTGTTGCAGTAAGTAAAAATAATAAAGGAAAGTTTGTGTTTTTATTTGGATCCTGAATAATTCCACTGATTGTTTGAGGAAAGTTAAGAGTATGTTGGGAGGTTGATACTGGGGACCGCTACCTGAAAGCTAAAAAAAAAAGTGTTTTAACACCTTCAGCATCATTTCTTGATTCTCCGACAACAGAACTAAGAGCCATATTCACGAATTACTTAGTCCACTGAAAGCCATACAGTGAGTGCATCTGCTCTGTATAAAAGGAAAAATTCCCACTCAGCAGACAAAGTGTGCAGGTGGCATTACTGGAAGGTGAAAATGTGGAGTTAAACCCAAATGGGGAATAAAACACAAATTCATTAGGAATGAAAAATTACTAAAGAATCTCTCACCAGTCAGATGCACAAATGTTTAGCATGTTCAAGATCAGCACAAGCTGCTGAAATTACTGGCATGATGACATTGGCTGTTTCAGGAGCACAGTCCACTTTGCTGAATATAACAGTGTTTTGGTAGCTTTTCCATTCTGTTCCACATTTATGTGTCTTCTGTTTTGGGTCAACATGATTTTCCTCACCCATTTTTGATTGCACAACAATATTCCACAGAAGCAACCCTAAATGTTTTAGAATCAGAAATTTAAATAGCATGTCAGGCATCCGAGGAGAGGATAAGGAGGAGATTTTTATGAAGAAATATTGAGAAACGTATTAACCTTAATTTTCATCATTTCTATTAAAAATTACAGTACACACAGTGATAATTACCTTGCAAGTTTTGTACATACTACCTTTCAGCTTTGGAAAATGAGCAAGGTCCATACTGCACACAGGGTCCCTAGCACTCCATGTGCAGCTTGAGCACTCTGAAACAACAGCAAATGGTTCATCTCTCATGGCAGAAGATCGAAACTGCTTTTTGATTTTTAACACTGTATATGGAGAGGTTGTCTGTGCTCTGACTGTGCAGAGGTGTGTGCAAGAGAAGACCGTAAATGTAAACTCCAGGATGCCTCCACAAGCACTGAGGTGAACATCTTACCTCTGTGCTGTGAAGCCACCATATGTCTAGTTGCCAGGTAGGAAGGAATCTTGTTGATTTAAACTTTGTAGGTTATATGAAAGTTAGTTGGTAGGTGAAAGCCTGGAGCCACTAAAAGTCCAAGGCAAAACTCCTCTATAAATTCATAAAAATGGGATTTCTTTGCTGTGTTGGAATTGGATGTACAAGTCACCACACAACAAACTAATGACCATTTGTTACCACTGGACAGTTTAAAGCCATCACATGAGACTTGCCACATATGAAATCATTATACACTAGCTGTTTGGGTGATAGATTTGTGTGTCCAAAAAGTAAAAGTGATGCATACCTTCTTTATATTTACAGTACTTGTGTAGTCAAATTTGGCCTGAAGTGCATTTTTCTTAAAAAGCTGCAGTTGTGGTTTTTTGGGTGGGGAAAAAAGTGTCTCTACTGGAACAGGAAAAAATTCAAACAAAGCCTTTCTCAAGTTCCAGCATTATAACATTGCATGAGAATCTCAACGTAAAAGTGTTTATAAAACAAAAAATTGGTATGGAAGTAGCTTTTTCTTTTTCTTTTTTTTTTTTGGACAAGTCATAGTGTTATTTAAATGCATGAAGCGATATTATTTCTCAAGTGATTTGTTCAGCTTTTCAGTGTTCTTTTCCTAATCAGATGTAAGAAGAAAAAATAGCCCAGCAACAACCATTGGTTCTTATAAAAGGTTTGCAGTGACTTCATTGGAGTTGTGCTTAGCTCTCTGTGACAGGTATGGCTCAATTAATGTACTGGACTTCTAGAGAGGAGAAGGAGGCAAAAGGAGTGAAGTTTTACAGAGCATGACTAAGTTCTGATTTTAACTTGGATTCTTTGTGCTACCATAGCAGAAGTTAATTATAAAAATAAATAATCCACAGAAATGCACATCCAGAGAAAATTCAAGGAATTAGCTCAAAAGCCTTCGCAATACTAAAATTTTAAAACAAAATTTCAGAGCACAAATACTCTTTTGCTAAGCAAAAATTGTTATATATCTTTAAATAAAAGTGTGTAGTACGTGCCTGCCTTGTAGAGAGAAATTACTCTGATAGGTTTTCCTGCATGAACAATACAGAGGAGGAAATAACCAAGGCAGAGACATAGTCACGCCAGACTGTTCCAGATGGGCCTGAGTGGATTAAACGGAAGGCTGGTCCTTTTGACATGGAGTGTGTTTTAATTCAACTGCATATTAATCAGAAACTGCCTTCCCTTCAGCCTCTCTTCAACAACCAAGATTGAGCACAATGTCACGTTTGCAAGTATTTGGGGCGAATGAGGTATAGAATATAGTGCCTTTTGCTGCTACTCTAGCAGTTCTCAGTACAGAACCTGAATATTCATGAGGCATTTGAGTAGTCAGCTTGCAGAATGCAAATACGGTGTGATTGCAGTCACAAGATAGAATCTTAAATAGATACAACTCTGTGCAGTTCAGTATATCAGTAAAAGAGGACAGGAAAAACTAAAAATGATGCTTATTTTTAGATGCCTATGGTGATTGTGCACAAAGATATAGGTGGCAGCTAGCTCCCGGATCTGTTTTCGTTAGAATCCAGTGTGACCAGCAGTGTTTGCATCTAAAGCAGATGCAGAGTGTGTTCCAGTGCAAGCACTGGCAGGGGAGATGAGGCCAAATCAAAATCCTGTATACAAGCACTTCATCTCTGGAAAGAGGAAATCCTGCAGCCAACTGGAATTGCAGAGTTGATGGAGAATATTGGCTTAGCCCACTATAGGAAGACGAGATTTTAGCTGGGAGGTTGTATCCAGATCCAGGGTTTCGGTTCAAAAGTCATCTCTGCTTTACAGGATTGACACCAGGCATATGCTCTAAATGAATATGGTATTTAGGATCTCTGAAGAGGAGCTGAAGTGACATGAGCCAAAATCCCAGCAATAGCAGCATTTTGGAGATGTAATTGAAGCCAAGGGTCTCTGTCATGTATTAGCAGATTATAGTTTATTAGGGCCTACATAATTTAAGAAAATGTAAATTAAAATTGAAAGCTTGTAAAATTATGTACATCTTTACTATTTCTCAATAAATACACTTGGAAATGTCATTTTCTGCACTACACCATGTTGTAAAATGCTTGGTTTGTGGTCGAAACCCTCCTTACACAATGTCTCTTACAGGAACTAAGTGTAGCCTCGGACTCTTTTCCAGCATATCCGTGCTGCCTTTGTGGTTCACACCTGGAGCAACACTGTGCCCGTGTGGTCTGGTAGAGACTGGCTCACCCGCATGCTGCTCGCAGGGTGCTGCCTCTAGAGAGAACCTCCCTCAGCTCTGCGCCGAGGTTTCCTCACCAAGAACTCTGGGTGCCTTCTCCAGGTGCAGTCGGAGAGACAACTGACACCTTTGTTGTGGTGTCCTTGGGACAAAATACAAATCAAACCAATTTGATGGTCTAGACATCTGGTCTATTCATTTAAATTCCCTTACCATTTGACTTACTAAAGTTATGCTAATGTCCTTCTCATGGACATGGGTTGTTCAGGAGTCTGACTGGATGACTGAAGGGAAGCAGCTGTTCCAGTCGAAGCTGAGCCCCATGAACCTTTGTAAATGGTTTTGAGAGCAGTGCTTCATGTGATCTTTGAGGTCCCTTCCAACCCCTAACCATTCTATGTCTTAACTGAGGTGCTGACCTTGGTTTGAAGGAAGCAGTCCCCCCACAGTCTGTTTGCATGGACTTGAAGGCACAAGTGGGACCGCAGGACTATCAGCACACATAGGCATGACATGATCTCAGGAACAACGTAGCAAGTGGCAGAGCCTTGATAACCACAGAGCTCCAGCTACAAGAGACAGCTTGTAAACAGTATGGGTTTTTTTCCCCCAGAAGTTAAATTAAAGCATGCCTGTTACAAAAATAACTGTTCTGTATGTAGAGAACAGAAAAAATTTTTCACTCAGAGGGTGGTGAGGTACTGGAACAGGTTGCCCAGAGAAGTTGTGGATGCCCCATCCTTGAAAGTGTTCAAGGCCAGATTGGATGAGGCTTTGGGCATCCTGGTGTAGTGGAGGGTTTCCCTGCCCATGGCAGGGGGGTTGGAACTAGATGATCTTTGAGGTCCCTTCCAACCCAAACGATTCTATGATTCTATGATTCTATAAAGATTCCC